TAAAAATAAAAATGTAAAAAATTTAAAATTATTAAAGTATATTCCTGAAAGAGGCGGCGGAGATACTTCAAAATTTATTAGTAAATTTCGTAAACTTTGTCGTGATGCTGAAATCAATAATTTACAAGAACAAAAGAATTACCTTTATTTATCACTTTCAAATGATTATATTTGTGATGAATTTTATAAGAAAATGAAAAATATCAAATCAACAAATGAATTGATCCAAGAATTTGGGAAAATTACTATAGATGAATCAAATTTAATTAGAAACGGATCTATTGTAGCTTTAAAACACGTTGCTACAGGAAAATATTTAAGTTCAATTAAGGATTTATGCTACACAACTGGAAGCAAGACTCAATTGGTATTCCTTTTTTTACGTTTGATAAATTTTTTGTATTATTAAATTTTAAATAAATTTAATAAATTCAGGTTTTTGCAAATAATTTGCTTGATTCGGATGCTTTATGGAATATTACATTTACGAGCGGTAAAGAACTAGCTTCATACACCGATACTAGTATATGTTTACAACACAAAAATTCTAGTACCTCTCTTGGACTTTTATATTATTATCAGTATAAAAAGCATCATGATTATAAATCTCCAGTAACTCAGCACACGGAAGGTAGTCATTAATTTTTGTTATTTCAAAATATATTTTTTAAAAAGGTTTAATATTGATGTATTATTTTATTTTAGTAAGTTGTAACCCAAAAGCTAGTTACCATTATACTCAATGGAAGTTTAATAATAGTAAATTAGAAAATTATCAAGGATATTTGAAATCAAATGATATTATTAATATTAAAAATTATAATTTTTATAAAAAATTTTTACGTAGTCATGATTTTCAATTTACTATTGGAAATGATACTTTTCAAGAAGTTGTCTGTCATAATGAAAGACTTGGTGGTAATGATGAGGTATATACTCTTTTTATTTTGTATTTGTAATCTATTCATGTAAATTAATTTATTTTTTATAACTTGTTTACAGTGGTGTATTGGACTTATTGAATGAGCAAATTATCACATTATTCAATGGTTTATATTACGAAATTTTTTGTTCATTGTAAATAATTTGTTATTCTATAAAGATAGAATATCTCTGTTGATTTTGTCTTAGCAAGTCTTTAAATGAAATTTCGCTTTTAATCGATTAATTCGTTTGATCGCTTACATTTTATCTTTTACTTTGTAATGATGCTATGCTTCAGATAATAAAATTATTCATTAATCATTATATTTATAAGCCTTTCCAAGTGTGTCATCACCAAATATTGAAATATAATTCCTAAAAGAAATATTTATTATTTGCATATGAAATGATAAAATCCCATTGATTGCCATTTCTTTGTTAAAATAGAAGTTCATTTATAAAATAATACTTCTTGTCTATACTGATTAAAATTGAATAGTTTGATTTTTCCATGTTTTAAATATGCATATAATTGAGACATTAATTTTTTTCAATTAATACTTTGTAATATTAGTTTCTTTATTATATTTTCAACTTCCCCAAATCACTTTTATATTTGGTAAAAATACAAATTAAAAAGAAATAGTTTTTATTACTTCAAAAATAAGTTTTGCGAACCTTATACGCAATGAAATCACCAGTTTTAATAGTCCAATACTCAATAAAGATCACTCAAAATTATTTACATACAGTAACTTCCAGAAATATTGTAATTCTTCGTTTAAAATTAGATCGTGATCATACAACTAACAATTTATCTTAATTTAAATGTCATGAATTCATTTTTAAGATCTTTTCTTTCTGGTATATAACTCATGCTGATAAAGTGGTGAGTGTGTATGTTAAACCGAATTCTGTCCTTATAAATGTACTCGTTCTTGAAGATAAAATTCTCAGAGAGGAAAAATGTCAAAAATTCATCGTCACTGAGAAATCGATCATTTAATTTTGCAAACGCAATAGACTCGGAACTATCTTTCTGAATAACTGGCTTCCATTATACCTTTGTTAAGCTGATGTAAGTCAATTAATAAGGTTTTTCTTAATATTTGGGTCACTCATTATTCAAGCAGCCACCTCAGATAGCATAGGTTCCATACGAGATAATTGTGCCTAATTAAATTGCTGTGCCAGGTGATGATCGAATACTGAAAATCGTTTGATTAGTTGATTTTAAGGAAAAGCCGCAGATATAATTAATTATATATAGACTTCGTTTTGCTTTGTACTCTATAGGATTAGGTTTCTTCTCTTCTCTTAAGGCAGTTGTACTGTTTGTCCTTTTTTTTTTTATTTAAAAATTTCGATTGTCATAAATCTTATAAATCTCTAAAGTGATCGAAATTCGCCCGAATCGTAATTATCATTATCGTCATAAACCTCCATACGAAATTATATGGTGCCTTCTGCCAGAAACCTACAATCACTTCTTTATTTATGGTTAAGTTTTGAAATTATTTTTGCCATATACAATTACACGAACTATTTCATACCTGGAGAAACACTCGTTGTTATCCCTCATGCCTATCCACTGAAGAATTTCTACGATTTTGAAATTTGTGTTCTGTTGAGTACTCATAATATTCATACATACCTTGATCATTACTTATTTAATATTTAGCATTTGATACACTCGCAACCTAAACCATTTTGACAAGACCTTAACAATACATATTTTCTTACTGATCTTGAAGAAGCTTACCAAATAAGCGAAATCATAACCATATTAGTCGACGCGATTCTCAAAAAAGAACAAATATTCTGATGATAATACGACTACCAAATTCCTTGCGGTAATCCTTGAGCTTCTTCAACAATTACTGAAACAATTTACTATTGAACAAATCCGCAATCAAATCTAAAACTTGAAGGGTGCATCTTCCGAGGATAAATATTGAAACAATACGTTATTTATTTAGCTCAACAAAATTGTATTGTCATAAGGAGCACTTCGTATTCTCGACGATCTGATACTGATAACCCAAAATAGAAATCTCTACTTCAGAGAGCATCCCTCCTATTCCTACATTAATTAAGAAGCAGAATAAATGAAAAAAAACTAGTCCCAATAATAGAAGTGTTCCTACTAAAGCTTAAAATTAACTTACAAAACCTAAAAGCAAATATTTCTGTCGTTCAACTTGCTCAATTTATCTTCAAAGATTCGTAGTAAATTCTCTTCGAATTTAAAGCCTCGGTTTTGTTAAATTCATGGATCAAGTATTATCCACCTTCATTGACAATAGCCTTATATTGTGATTGAGAAACTCTTGATTATAGACACATTTGCTGCTGGGAGCATTATCTGCTAATTTGGGAATCCTAGTATGACCATAATGATCATGAAAAGCACTTTGTTTCCCTATCACTATACAAGTGGTTAAGCTTATATGACCATACGTGAGAAAACAAATAATTACCATTCCCATAGAATACAACCTGCTTCCTGAGGAACAACGAGACCACAAATCCAAGATCCACTTGAGGATGATATGATGATGAAGACGAGGAATTTGAGATGAAAAGAATTATGATAACGATGATGCTGAAGAATGAACTTTATTATACAGTTCGAGCTAGTAACAGATCTTATTCCTCATTAGTCCTGGATTGTCATTTAACCGATGGTTGAAGAAATTTTTTTTATCAAGAAGTTAATGTTAGTATATGAGTGTTTTCTAAACAGAATTTTTATTTTTGGAATTACTTAATTACCAATTTCAAACCTCACCCCAAGAAAGCTAAATGTTTTGGTTTTAACTCATAATATGGGAGGTTTGCTTTTAAATTGAGTTACGAACATAATAAATCAAATGATCCGTAATGTGAAAATTTATATTCCATTGAAAAAGTCTGATGTGAATGGATTTATACAATGAGCCTTATCATCAGGTTGGTTATAGGGATAAATTATCCTAGAACTACTCAGTCAATTTGAAAATTTTAAGGACTTGTTCACATTGAAATTACTCAACACATCAAATCGAAACCGGTGATATTCCCTTATATAAAGAAAAGGTTAGAAGGCAGTAATTAAGGATAAAATTTACTCGAACGCTCGAACAAGTAATTATCGAAAGACCTGCTAAACCAGACATTTCTGGTTATGATAATTAAAAAGCGTTAACAGAGCTTATTGGTTCACTTCGCTGAGACCTTTTTAGCAAATTAAGATGGATTTCAGAGATCGAGAGAAGACCATTTTTGTCAATTTAAAGTAATGCTATTTAGACTTTGTAATACTCCAGCTACCTTATGGACCACATATGTTTAGTTTATCTCAACATTTTTTACTAGGCTCAGCTGGATTAAAACTTAAGCATAATAAAATTTTCTTCTTTACTCAAGAACTCGTAAATTACTAATGTTATTGGTGATCGCATAAACCGTCTAAATAGCGCACGTTATATAAATCTTAAAAGTTTTTTATACATGGAGAAAATAATTTTTTATTTATTTTTTTTTATATATTGTAAAACATTTATATAATTTATTTTATATTGGAAGTGTACATGATGCTAGAGTATTTATCTTTCATCCCTTTATCATGAAATTTCTTTTAATCCTGAACAGGTTAAACTTTATTGCTGAAGCAGCATATCCTCTCCGAACATATTTAATAAAAACATTTCCTGATTATTATATGTTAACCCATAGAGAACGACATTTAATAAAATTCTTTCTTCAATGCGGATGATTATTGAACGTGCATCGGATATTTAAAGATAACGCTGGTGAATTCTATTTATTTATTGAATTGATATTGAACGAATTACTAAAATAATACATGCATGTTGTATTTTACATAATTTCTTAATTTCTATATTGATATGAGTGATTTTTTATCTTTAGAAGATGTTATGGATAGAGAAATAGGAGATGATACAGATATTGGATATGACGTAGAAAATTATAGAAGAGAAGAAATAATAGGCACTCAAAAAAGAGATATTTGGCTAATCTTTTAATATATCACTCCATGTTAAAATTTTTCTAAACTGCTTAAAGATATCTATTCATCTGTCTTTGCTGAACCTCAGAAGTACGAGTGCACTGATCTCAGAAATAATTTTAGTTTGTTCATTAATAAAATCCTGAAATTCTTTCATATTTGCTTTCCTTCTTCAGATCATGTACATGTTTTTTTTTTTATTTTACTTTATTCTATATAATATATAGATATAATAAATAATTTACTCATCATCCTGATTTTCAGTAATTCCATAAATTGAATCACTAGTAACAGGTGCTGTAACACTCGGATCTTCTTTTAAATATTTATTCATATCATTAAAAAATTCCCAGTCATTTGAACAGCTTCTTCACCAGTACTTGCAAATTTTATCTTTATATCACGATATTTTTGAAGAAGTGGAGCCCACTTTTGTTGAATTGATGTATTCTTACATTCTTTAAAACTAAACTTGCTATATTATATTAAAATTAATTTTATCTGAGTTTATTATTTGTTAAAATTGTGTAAGAACTGGAGCTAAAGTTTTTCTTTTAGTTATTAAATCAATAAAAGGATAAAAAGAGATTGTTAAAGCACTGATCACCATCTTTATTTTGTAAAGCTTGTGCTATATCTCAATCACTATTTAATCATATTGAGTTATTAAGTAAAACCTATAGTAGTCCAACTACAGACTATACCATTATATTATATTATATTATTACAATTAAATGCAAATTCCGGTCAAAATCTTCATAATTCCTCTTGGAAATCACTCTTAATAATTACAGTTAGTCCCTTTAATAATCATTTGTCAGATTATCATGATGTCAGAATGTCACAATGCCAGTTTGTCAAGATGTCAGTTTGTCAAGGTGCCAGTATGACAAATAGTCAAAATTTCAGGATGGATTAATTAAAAATCTTTTATAAATATGAGTCAGAAATCCTAAAACAGCTCAATATCCCATGCTCACCTTTAGCATATTTCTTTGAAAAACATTCCTTTCACTATCTTCCCTTTACACCTTCATGATAATTTCGATTTTCACCCTTTTAATTTTATAATTTTGAATTTTGTAACACAGTTTATTATTTTATTTTTAATTTCTGATTTTATTAGTAGTTTATTATATAATTTTTATGTAATAGTTTTGTAATTGCGTAGTTAGAATTTATTACTTGACATTTATAAAGTTTAATATATTGAAAAAGTGAAAGTGTAGAGTGCTAACATTGAGGTAACACTGATTAATTTGATCATGTTAAATGAATTCTTGTAATAATTACTTCATTCTTATTTAACAATTACTCAATAAACCCTTCTGCTTATATTACAAATTATTTATAAATACATAAACGAAAGAACTGAATACAAAAATATTATTTTATTTTATTTTTCAAATACTATCTATCTTCATAAATATATACTAATAAAATATAACAGTTAAATTAATAAATGATATTATTATTAAATTTTTGAAATTATATATATTAATTACCATTTTTATTAGTTATTTTCTGTAAATAAAAATTCTTTTTTACATTAACAGGATATTTAGTAAAAAATAAATCATAATTTACCATAATACTTAAATTATCTAAAATTTGTAATTTATCATCAGAACTATTATTTAGATCTTTAATACCTCCTTGTTTTATCTTTGATTAAGTAATATTTACATCATAACCTCTATCATATTTTTTATGAAAATGATTAAATTTTAATTTTTAATGTTCTCCACTACAAAGATCAAGAAAAATTGCATTATAAAAAAAGATTCTTTTTAAAAGTCCTAATGGAGTTTCTCGAGTAAGTATAGGAGATTGCAAAATCTGTTGACATTTCTTAATACAGTCAACTCTTTCTACAATGAATTTTGATATAACTAATTTTACAATACAACGGATTTTCAGTGTCGGACAGATTTTTAAATATAAAAAAACCCTTACTATACCGAATTTAGT